TAAAAGTAAAGAATGTTTAAAATTACCAACTCATATTTTATTATTACAAAATGCAGTTAGATTTCTGAATATGTAATGCTTATAAGCACTGTCAAAATTTAAAGGGTTTAGTTTGGGTAAATAATACATTCCTAATATGTGCTGGACTTTTGGTTAGTAATATAGTATCAATACTGAACATTTTTGACAAAATATAATGTATATTTGGATATTGTTAAAATTTGGGTAGTTACATATTTTAAAAGGCGAAAGATTTATACGATCTGAAGAGAAGCCAGAGAATAGGTAGTTACATATTTTAAACACTTACCTTTTTGGATTGTATTCATATGTCAGTGTCTTAAGCAACATCTCAAAATATTTATTAAAGAGATATTTACATTATCATGCAGGCTATAAACCTGTATACTTGGGGTAACTTTAGGCTGTATTGTTTTTGCTAGCTTTTTAAATGATAGATAGGGCTTTATTATTAGTACTTTTCAAAAGATTTGTTTTTATTGGGAAGGCAGAACTGATTGGCAGAGAGGAGGCGAGAGAGAAAGACCTTCTATCCCCTGGTTTACTCTCCAAATGACTGCAGTGGTTGGAGCTGAGCTGATCTGAAGCATGGAGCCAGGAGCTTCCTCCAGGTCCCCCATGCAGGTGCAGGTTCCCAAGGCTTTGGGCCATCCTCCGCTGCTTTCCCAGGCACAAACAGGGAGCTGGATGGGAAATGGAGTAGCCTGGACATGAACTGCCAACAATACAATATGGGATCCTGGCAGTTGCAAGGTGAGCATTTAGCCACTGAACCATCATGCTGGGTCAGAGGGTTTATTAGTTTAAGCTATGTTATTTATTTGAGAGGCAGAGAGAGATAAACGGGAGCAATATCTCCCATCAGATGTTCACCTAACCAAATTCCTGCAGTAACTAACTGGGCCTGGCTAGCTAAGAGCAGGAAACTCAGCCCTCATCTCTCACAAGGGGGGGCGGAGCCCAGTTACTGGAGCTATCCCTTGCTGTCTCCCGGGGTGAACATTAGCAGGAAGTTGGAATTGGGAGCAAAATCAGGACTCGATCCCAAGTAGTCTTGATGTCACAGCATGGGTATCCCATGCGGCATCTTAGTTGCTGTGCCAAATATGTGTCTGGATGTCATTATTCTCACGTTCCTGCAGTGGTAGATTATCTTTCTGAGCTTCGGTAGTAGTTCATCAGCTTATACTTTATCCAGCCATTGTAACTTTACTCGTTGGTGGGACAGGCTGTAGTGTTCCTACGTCTCTTCACAGGTCCAGACCTTGATGCTGTCGTTTAATCTCATAAAGTGTGGTCTTGTTTAATAGGGAAGATCAGTCCCCATGAATGACCTTTTACAATTCAATAAAAACCATTGAATCAGAATAAACTAAAAAAAATTAATTTTCAGGGTGTAAATGAGGACTTTACAGTGTATCTTTGTGCTTTGATAGTGTTCTTTGTTCTCTCAGCATTATTGCCGTGGCTTTTTCCTGAGGCCATGTAAAGGAACAATTTGTTTGGCATCACTCCTTGTGTTTGACTTCCTTCCAAAGTAACCCGTTGTCAGGTGTGTTTTCTTGTTCAAAATGAATGTGGGGAAGGCATTTTGTAATTTTAACTTGTTGTAGCAATGAATGTTAACATAACAGCAGAGCTGTACCAAAATCACATATGCAAGTTCCTCCGTGAGTCATTTCTGACCAAAGACGGAAGTGATTTTGTGTGTAGTTTTGGTACCACCAATTGTATCTCTTGTTTATTTATTTGAAAGGCAGATTTATAGAGAGGAGGAGTGACAGAAAGATCTTGCATCTGTGGGTTCACTCTCCAAGTAACTGCAATGGCTGCAGCTGAGATTATCTGAAGCCAGGAGCTAGGAGCCTCTTCTGGGTCTCCCATGCGGGTGCAGGGTCCCAAGGCTTTGGGCGGTCCTCTGCTTTCCCAGGACACAAGCAGGGAGCCGGATGGGAAGTGGAGCAGCTGAAACATGAAATGGCATCAAATTACTTTTGAAAACTTGCTATCAAGGCACATTTTTAATTTGGGAAAATTGTAATTCAGAAGAGTGAGGCTTTATTGTAAATTTATGCTTAATTTGCCTAAAATTTTTCTTCTTGTTCTGCACTACATTTTCTTATTTCTTATTGTTGTTAGATAATCACTGATTTTGTATGTGTGTGTGCTATAGTTAGTTGTCACACAGCAGAATCTTTTCTGGAATTAAGTACCGATCATAAAGTATTCATGTAGCAAGTGCTGCTGTTTTCTACTATGCTTAAACATGTTTTTCTTGTATTTCTTGCTCACTATATCCAAGTCTTTATTGTCATTTTTGAGGATAGAAATTCCAGCTAAAAGGTTACCTCTCAGCTCTTGAGTAAACTGAAGTGGGACAGATGAAAGGCCCAACATGTGTTCTAAGTGCAGTGGGTAAAATCTGGGTTTGTTGTTAAGGTCTCTTGGCTTTGTTAATCACATCTGTCAAGTTGTATGTTTCAAGGTTAAGGTCGGAGGAAATGATCAGCGGGAAGATGAACTGCGAGGTCTGATAAAGCACGGTTCCTGCTGCGCTGACCTGCTTGTTTGAGAACCTTCTGATCTGTGTGTCTGCACAGTCAGTCTGTCGGTCTTCATTTTGTCTCCACTGAATTATTTTTGAAAGCAATTAAATTTTGAGATTTAAAAATTGATTTGCTTGTTCAGCCATGTTGTAAAGAACAGAGCATAACAGTAAAAGCGGTATTGGCAGCTTTCTTCATCAGTTAAGTTACAAGATACGCAAGACACTGTGACTAAGGGGCAGTTTGCAGTTTGGGGGCAGTCCCAACTCCTGAGAGCTTGGAAAGGTTTGTTGTTTAGTGGACTTGTTAGGCTCTCATGTTGAGTGTGGTGGGCCTGGATGTGTACCGTGTGTGTGCGCGGCTCCCCAGCACTAAAGCTTCTCCACGTTTCCCGTCAGCGTTGCCAGAGGTCTGCCCGTTCCTATGCAGGCTCAGAAGTATTTCATGAGCTAGTATTTTGTTGTGTGTTTTAGTTAGCTCCTTGTTCTTAAAAGATAATACTTTTAAAATATTACTTTATGAAAATTGTTAATATAGATTGTGATTTGATTTAGAAATATTTGTATTCACATTATGAGGATGAAACTTATGTGGAAAGTTAGACGTCACTGACTTTAAGACAAATGTTTGGTAGTTTAGTAAATGTTGTCTATTTTAATATTTATACATACACTAATATTTAAAATATGTGAACATTTGCTTTGATAATTCTCTGGGTTGGTGATAGGTTTTCTAGGTTCTGCTGTTTTCACGTAGTCACTTAAAAAAGACCAGTTGTCCTTGATGTTTTGTGATTGTGAAAGGATTTCACTCTGTGTGCTGGTGAGTCCTTTTGATTGAATAAACTTAACATTTTCCTGCCTGAATTTGGAGTCCAGGAAACCTGGGCTTTCCTCCAGGCCTTGCTGCATGCATGTCACGTGACTTTTGGGCCTCCTGGGAAATAACCATATTTGCCTCAAAAGGACTCTGGATTCTTTTTGCTTAAACCGAAAGTGCTTTGTAATCTTTAGCAGATAAGCAGATGCTAGACATTACCATTATAATTAAGAGTTTCATAAATTTTTCTAAACTTGTAAAACACTGTTTTGTACAGTGCAAATATATGAAGGATATCTAGATTAGCTACAGTCAACTTCCATGTCATTGTCATGTGGACTGCTGGGAATTTTAGACCTTCCTGGGAGCAATAGGTTCTCTCACTTGGAGATTGATTATCTGTTAATAAATTGAAGGTATTTCTTTTCATATAGAAAATAGATGTCACCGCATTCAAAGTGAAAGTCAAAACAGGTTTTGTATTTGGGAAGCAGAAACATCATGGTACAGGTGGAAAGCGGAAAAAAAAACCATGCAGTTATAAAATAAAAAGCGTTAGTGGTAATAGCTCTGTGTAGCTCTTCAGGGTCGTTAAATACTAGGAATAGAAGTAACTAAGTAAGACCCCCTCATTTTACCCTTGGTGAAAAGGAGACTCCAGTTGGCTAAGGGACTTACAAGGCATACAGAAAGCCAAGCATAGTTCTTAAGATTAACTTTCATAGCAGACAAGAAAGAATTCTTTCCCTTTTTAAATGGTTATTTTTCAGCCACCGAGTTTACCCTTGAATCTTTTGAATTTATACTTGCCTTTTCCCAGTGAAGCCCATTTCATCACCACTGCCAGTGTCTCTTCATTGCAACGCCTGGATTGTCGTCACACTTTTCTCACTGGGCTTCCTGGTGGCCATGGTACTTCTCAAAGGACTGCAGAGAATCACTTGAGGGTTGCAAAGTGTAGGTTTCTGCCCCCGGAGAAGTCTGTTGAATCAGTCTGTCCACTATGGAGGCCCCAGAAGGCAGCGTTCATGTGTTCCTCCCAACTGGTGCCCTCTACCCTGGGGTCAGCCCCATGGCAGCCCTGGTGGTGAGGAAGGGTCCCAGGGTCCCCAAGTGCTGCCAGGGTTGAAGCTGTGTCCTCACAAGTGTATATGGAGCACTTCATGCAACCTGTGAAAATGTCGATGGTAAGTCTAGGGGTCTCAAATTTTATATTTCCAAATGGCTCCCAGGTGTTGTCCTAGGTTACCGTATTTTTTATTTTAGGTCATACTGATTGCTGGTTCTGTATGTCTTTCAGTTGTGTCTTGTAGCTTCCACCAAAATTTTATTGAGTAAAATTCGGCAGGCAGTAGAACGCTTCTGTGTTTCATTCAGTGAACGAATGAGTGAGAATTGTAGAGCCGTCTCCCGTCCCCAAGGTCCAAGTCTGCTGGTTTTCAGGCATAGTCCTGGTATTTTTTTTTTTTAAGAGTCAGTATTCTTTTCCTAATTTTTAAGATTGGAATAACAGTTGCATGCCAAAAGCATCGCCATTCTCATGTTGGAAGTCTTTATGGAACAAGAAACATTTCTTTTAGCTAAAATAATAATTGAAAATTTTTTTCCTTGCAGCCGCCTTTGCAGCAGTGTTGCACTGGTAAGATTGCTCTTTCTTCTGTGATGTATTTACATTGATTGTTTAGTTTACTGATTTGACACTCTGACACAGAGCGGGGAGCACTCCCACCCTCAGGATTAGAAATGCTCCTGACAGCTGAGGCTTGATCAGGCTGACACCGCGAGGAGTCAGGGAATTCAGTGCAGCCTCTGATGTCGGTGGCAGAGACCCAGCTCCTTGAGCCTCCCGGAATAGGTTGTGCATTAGCAAGAAGCTAGAATTAGGAGCAGAGCCAAGACTCAAACCCAGACACTCAGACATGGGGTGAGAATATTTCAAGTGATGTTTGAACTGCTGTGCCAGACACCCATCCCTCTTATGGGGTATTGTATGCAGATGTTTATAATTAAGCAATGCTATTCCTGAGTATTCAAAGGAATAATAATAGATGAAAATATATTACATGTAACATAAGAACCTGAAAAAATAGCTGATAACTCAGAGTCAAAATATAATTTTTAATAAAAAAGAAATCTATTATTAAAGAACCTACATTTTAGTCTTGACTTCCCTTACCATTAATATAGTGCTCATGTGGAGAGGAAGATTAATTTTTTTAATTATCTGGAAGAGAGACACATGAATCTCATTAATCAGCCATTTCTGAAATGGAACATACCCTATGACATTTATAATTTAATCTATATTTTCATTGTACTTCACTTAATATATCATTAATCTCATTTATTTTCATCTTAAAAATCTAGTTTGAATGTATTTTCTCATAGAGAAACATTTTAATAAGCTGTAAAGCATATTGAATGGCAAGGAAATTGGACTATCATTGCGTTTGAGTTTTATTACTAAATCATCTGCAAGTGTATAATACTTGTGTTTTTGCTTTTAGACTTACTTTAAGAATGTAATACTTTGTACAAGTTTTAACGTAGTTGTTTTGTACTGCTTCTTTTTCCCAGGAGCCATATAACACACCTGTTTGAAAATGATCGCCATTTCTCTCACCTCTCAACGTTGGAAAGGGAGATGGCTTTTCGCACTGAAATGGTTAGTTGTGTGTGACATTTTATTAAAACAGTTTAAGATTTTTTAAAAATAGTTTTTTAGTAGGAAATATTAAGAGAAAATGTTCTGAAGAAGAAAAGGTAGATATTTCCCTGTCTGTCACATTTAACAGCTGACAGCATCTCTCCGCAGCCCTCTGTGAAAGGAAATCGTGGACTTGTGTCATGTCATTGGCTAATATTTGTAGAGTTCATAAGTAACTCCAAAGACAAGATGTTTTTACTTTAGTTTTGGTGAACCGCAGTAGCAGTGTCATACAGGAATACAGTTAACAGCAATTCCTTACTATCATCAAATGGAAGTGAGCGTCTGGCGTCTGGTGACGTGACAGGCTGTTGATGGGCTTGAGCAGGGGTCCAGCCAATGTCTGCACACTGCATTTGGTTGGTAGATGTTTTAAAGATTTTCAATCTTGCAGTTCCCTTTTCTACTTTTATTGTTTTCTTTTTCTGTCATTTCTTCAGCTAGTAATTGGAATTGTTTGTCGCATAGAATTATCCAGAGAGATTGTTGTTTACTGTATTTGTCTAACGTTCCTTTAGATTGATAGATCAGTCTTAGAGCTGACGATCTGAGTTCATTCTGTCACCGGTCCAGGGGTCGGAAGCGGGAGGTGAAGTGTTTGCAGGTTGTGTCTGAAGTGGCGGTGGGGGTGGTGGAGGTCCTGCTTTGCCTGTGTGCTGCTGGTGTTTTGGCAGTCCCTGGCTTCCCTGGCTTGCCGACCGTCACCCTGGAGTTGGCCTCCCCCTTGCCTTGGCCTTTTCTCCTCGGGTGGCTGTGTCTCAGCGCACAAGTTTACTCTCTTAGGTAAGGATTCCACTTATGTGGGGTTAGAAGCTTGGTCAGTGCAGAGTGGCCTCGGCTTAGTTTTACATCCACATATGGACAGGTTCTTCAAAGGTTCAGGTTGACAGGCAGTTTTGGGGAAAATGATTCAACACGGGATGGTCAAAAGTGTAATTTTTAAAAATAGTGATATGAAACCCAAACATCATAGTACCCGAGTTGTTTTTTTTTTTTTTTGATAAATGTTTGGCTAGGTAAGTTATATTTGAGTATCTGAGACTTAATCTAAGTTTAGAGTTTGTCATGAAATGGTGCTGACTGCGAGGGGAGCTATAGATAAAATTGGGTAGGAGATGGAGTTTGTATCCAATTTATTTGTCTTATTCTGGATAGAACATGAACTTTATATCCTGTTTGTCTTTCCTTATACTGCCACTTAAGTTTCTCACTAGGCTTCTGATATGTTCTTGTTTATTATTACCTGTTTTACTTCACGCCTGCTATATTTTCAAGATGGCATGTCAGGCTAAACAATTATTCTGGTCTGTCCCCATCTCTGTATCTCCAGCTCTTTTGGGTTCTTAATGCTGAGCTGAAAATGATGTGTAAAATTGTTTGGCAACAAAGGGAAAATTATATGTAATGCATATATATCGAAGTATCAAAGTACGTAATCGGTTGTGCAGCCTTTTCAACATATTTGCATTTTGTGCATATAAATCTGGAGGGAGAATGACTAATGTCATTTTGGGAATTTCAATGAAGCGTTAGAATGGAAGCATTTTTGGCTTGAGAAGATTTTTTTGATTCATGGTAAACTGTAATTCTGTGGTAAACCATTTATTCTGAGCATAAGATAGTCTTTTCTAGCAGTTACATTGGTTTGGCTTATGGGATTTTCTTAAGTTGAGTATGTGAAAGTTGTTTACTTTTTTTTTGAGAAAAGTGTTTTTGAAGCTACTGTATTTAATTATTCCAGTTAAGAAAGGTTATACAAAAGTATATGATTTTTTTGCGGCCTAAAAATTTATCTGTGATCGGAAACCTGTGAAATTAATTGTAGCTATTACTTGCTTGATTGCTTTCTTTCACAAAGAGTGTATTTGAAGTACTTTGTTTTGCTAGGCTAAAAGGGCATGGTAATTATGTACCTTTCACTTATAACCAGAGCATCTCCTTGTTTCAGGGATTATATTATTCTTACTTCAAGACCATTGTGGAAGCACCCTCATTCTTCAGTGGAGTCTGGATGATTATGAATGATAAACTGACTGAATACCCTCTTGTCATTAATACATTGAAAAGGTTCAATCTTTACCCTGAGGTAAGTTACTTTTCCAGTTGTGAATTCCACTTATATGAACTGCTTTTTAAAAATATTAAATGCTGATTCTAAAACACATTTTCATATGTTGCATTTTATTTTGCTTTTTAAAAAAGAAAATATCTCAGAAAGGATTATTGAAAACATCCTTTTTTAAAGATTTATTTGAAAGGCAGAGTTACAGAGGGAGAAAGAGACACAATGAGAGAAACAGAGACTGTGCGGTATCTTCTATCCGTGGTTTGCTCTCCAAATGGCCACGAGGACTGGAGCCAGAGCCTCCTCCAGTTCTCCCACATGGGTGGCAAGGGCCCAGTACTTGAACTGTCTTCCACTGCTTTACCAGGCACATTAGTGGACAACTGAATTGGAACTGGAACAGCTAGGATTCTGTTGCCTGTATGGAATTCCAGTGTCATAGGTTACCCACTGTGCTACTGCACCATTCCCAACAGAACATTATGGATTTGAGGAATCAGATAAAATCATTATTAATTCTGTGGCTCTATTATGATGTCGTTGGTTAAAAGTTGTGAAGCAGGAGTCAGCACTGTGGTATAATATAATAAGTTGACACTACCACCTGTGGCATTGGTGTCCCATCTGGGTGCTGATTCATGTAGCTTAGTTCAAGGCAGGATCTGCATGACTTACTGCTGCCTGTACACAGTTACATTGATCTCTGGTTATTATTCTTTGTTTGTTTGTTTTGTAAGATTTATTTATTTTTATCGAAAAGGCATATATGCAGATAAAAGGAGATGCAGAGAGAAAGATCGACCATCTGCTGGTTCATTCCCTAAGTGGCCAAAATGACCGTAGCAGAGCCGATCCAAAGCCAGGAGCCAGGAGCCTCTTCTGGGTCTCCCACATGGGTGCAGGGTTCCAAGGCTTTGGGTTATGCTCTGCTGCTTTCCCAGACCACAGGCAGGGAGCTGGATGGCAGGGAGCAGCTGGGATTAGAACTGGTGCTCATATGGGATCCCAGCGCATGCAAGGAGGGCTTTAGCCATTGGACCATCGCTCTGGTCCCTCTTCTGTGATTTTCACACTGTTTATGAGTTCTAAAATGTGTTAGCTATTTCCTTGTTCTATTTCTGAATACATTTTATACACTAGAGATTTTGCTTTGTATTGTTTTATGTTTATGAATTAATTTGAGGCAGATTCGTGTCTTGAAAAATTTAGTCTATTCAAATCAGTGTAGTGTATCTATTTGTATGCATCTTCTTGTATGCCCCTTAGTAGAGTATTTTAACTTGAGAAACAAACCTTGCATGGTTTTTCTTATCTTTTATTACTGTCTGTAGGGAAACAGATGACTGACAAGTGAAGAATATGTTTGGAGATCCTAACTTAATTCTGTAAGCCTAATGAATGGTCCAGGAAAGGGAAAGTTGATAATCAGCAGACGATCTTAAAGTAATTGTAATTACTTTAATTAATTAATGAAAACTGTTTAGAGTGGTATATTTTCTTGTGGTGTTTTGTATTTTAAAAAATAGGTAATCTTGGCCAGTTGGTATCGGATTTATACCAAAATAATGGACATGATTGGCATTCAAACCAAGATATGTTGGACAGTTACCAGAGGAGAAGGGCTCAGTCCTATTGAAAGCTGTGAAGGTAAGCTTCTTCGTGTAATAACACTTGCTGCCAGCATCGTACATTGACTCCACGCTTGCTTGGCATAGAAGACTGAACGCAAGTGTGGTAGTATAAATAACCACCGCTGTATTGGCGATGGATACTCACCTTGGCTAGGTCATGCAGGCTCACAGTGGCCACTGTTTTCAAGATTCTGGTCTCTGAAAAGAAGCCCGATTCTGACTGGAAGGGACTCTGTGCACATTGACTTTTGGGCTTGTGAGACCGTGAGGCTGAGTTGCACCTAGACTGTTGACTGGTGTGGGACCTTTCCATGTGACTTGAGCTTTGTTGTAATGGGTGCCTCCAAGTCATCAGGAAGCTCAAGGCACTGCGGTCATCCACTGTGTGGCTGTGTATGTTTTGTTTCTGCCATACTCTGTCAAGGCAGTCACATACTCAACCTGACTCAGAGGGCATAGATCCCAAACCCAGTGGATGGTGTTTCAACAAATTTGCAGCCGTTTTTCTTTCTTTTTTTTTTTTTAAAGATTTTTTAAAAAATTTTTATTGGAAAGTCAGATATACAGAGAGGAGGAGAGTGAGAGAAGAAGATCTTCCATCTGTTGATTCACTCCCCAAGTGGCTGCAACAGCTGGAGTTCAGCCGATCTGAAGCCAGGAGCCAAGAGCCTCTTCCGGGTCTCCCATGCAGATGCAGGTTCCCAAGGCTTTGGGCCATCCTCAGCTGTTTTCCCAGGCCACAAGCATGGAGCTGGATGGGAAGCGAGGCTGCCAGGATTAAAACTGGTGCCAATATGGGATCCTGATGCTTGCAAGGCAAGGACTTTAGCCACTAGGCTACTGCGCCTGGCCCGCAGCCCTGTTTTAAAACTACCACAGTTGCTGTTCCGGTCTCATGTGCTCTTGCTGTAGTGTCTTGTTTTGGTTTGGGAACCTAGGCAACCATTTAATGTATCTGGCAACCAATTTCAAAATAAGCACAGTTTAATGTAAATTGCTTGAAGTGTAAAGTAATTTATGGTTAGAACATATGTTTTGTTTATTTTTTTAAGGGTTGGGAGATCCTGCTTGCTTTTATGTTGCTGTAATTTTTATTTTAAATGGATTGATGATGGCATTGTTCTTCATATATGGCACATATTTAAGGTAAGAATATTTTACTGTATGTATGTAAGATAACTAGAGTAATGAGCTGAGTAGTTGTTAGGTAATAGTTAATGACCTTGAAAATTATAGTTAAGCTTTGTGATATCAGTCCTAAAATATCTGAGATGTTTATAAAACTTTTATATTTGCCTGAGTTTACTGTTGTCATGACCAGCCATTTTAAAGATAGTTGTTGAGGCCAAAATAGAGCATTATGGAGATAATCGATAAAATTTAAGCATTAACAGGCATTTGAGCATCTGCCAAATATATAGATAGTTTAAATAAAACATAAGTGAAAATCCCACTTATCACGAATTAACATTAATGAAATTTATTTTTCTAATGTTGAAATTGAAGAATATTCTGTACAAATATTTTGGGATCTGATTGATTTAGCAATTTTGCTGCATTACTAAAACCTGAAGATAAACAACTTTAAAAGGATTTTTATGTTTATTTTCCTCCTTTTGACAAGTTAACACATTGTATGTATGTTTGAACTCTTCTATCTTCAGAGTAACTTTGGAATTCTCTTCCTTAGTGCTGACTGATTGCGTTGCAGAAGTATGAGCATATGGTTTTCAGTTTGGGATAATGAGTTTGGATCTGCTCTTTTCCCATTATCTTCTTTACTTTAGAAGTGCAGCATTTTCAGTTTAGTAGCTCACACATCTATTGAATCTTTGTCTTAGTGTTTGAATGTATAGCATTTACTTGTTAAATATTTGTCAAATGAGGAAGCTATTAGAAGATAAATTTTAAAGTTCTTTTAATTATTTGATCAGGGAGACTGAAATGAAAATGTATGATCATGTGATGATGTGAGTGATTTATGTTTGAATCTAGACAGAGAAGCAACTGCAGGAATTTTGATAGTCAGGGAAGGAGGCTGACTTGAGGGTCAGGATGCCAGTATGCCTGTATTGAAGCAAGCTGAAGGACAGAACCTTGGTGGGCTAGGTTCATCATATTCCATTTGACCATCTATCTTGTGGATATGCCTTTATCACATTTGGGAGCTCAGATTATAAGTCAGGGGAGTTAAAATATGCAATAATTAATTGCTACATTGGTTTTCAATGTGTTTCAATTGAAAGAATTTCTGAGCATTTGTTTAAGTAATCCTTCATGTTATTTTCTTATAATGCTGGTGTTGGGATCATTGTTTCAAAGACTGGAAGTACAGTGTCTGCTAACTGATAGGTTCTGTTTTTGGTTGAGGAGTTCTTAATATTCTGGGCTCTGAGCTGAACTTTCTTAATCGTCAGCTCCATTAGTCCCTGGTGGGCAGGTTTTTTCCCTCCGTGCGAGATCCATATTTAAGTTGCCCAGTCAACAGATGACATACGTATCAAAGTAGTTTGTTTTGAAGGAGTGCATGTTTGGCCTCTGTGAGCTGAATAAGAATGAGACAGGGCAAAATATGGGGATGGTGATTAGGTGTGTGTGAATAGAAGATGGACAGTAAGGGTCTGTCTTCATTTAGTGTTGATCTTGGAAAGTATTATGAAATAGTTTATTTAGTTCACATGTCAGGAGGCAGGGCAGTGCTGTGATCTAATGGCTGTGCCTGGCAAGAGCTTCGTCCATGCTTAAAGGTGATGGTTGGCATCACATGGCAGGTGTATCTGAGAGTGTCCGTGGGTGTGTGTGGGAAACAGCAGAATAGCGGGAGTAGCATTGTTCTGCAACAGCCCACTGTGGAGATGATTAGAGACCCAGTCCTGAGAGACCCAACTCATTCCCTCAAGACCGAGTCTAGTTCTCCAGAGCTCTAACTCGGTCTCTTAGAAAAGGTATTAACCCACTCAAGAGGGCAGTGCCCCCAGGAGCCAGTCACCTTCTTGACACCTGCTCCTGCCACTGACTCCTCAAGAGCTCCAGCCTCAAGCTGAGCTGTGATGGAGACAACCACATCGAAACCAGAGTAGGAAGGAAGGATCAGTGCTCGAATTTCTTGAAGCAGGAGACGTTTCTTCTGTGTGGAGGAGCTTTTTTTTTTTCTTTCATTACATTTTAGCCTGCTTTTGACATTAAATATTTTATGTTCCAGGAATTGAATTTCTGTTTGTTCTTACTGTTTTCTTCCTTGCTGGTGTTCAGTTGTTTTTTATTTTTTTTTTTTAAGATTTATTTTTATTGGAAAGGTAGATTTACAGAGAAGAGCAGAGCTAGAAAGATCCTCCAAACACTGTTTCACTCCCAAGCAGCTGCAGTGGCAGGAGCTGAGCTGGTCTGAAGCCAGGAGCCAGGAGCTTCTTCTGGGTCTCTCATGCGGGACTGATTGGGCCCAAGCCTTTGGGCCATCTCTACTGCTTTCCCAGGGCCATTAGTAGGTTGCTGGAAGGGATCCTGGTGTTTGCAAGGTGAGGATTAAGCTACTATGCTGTCACATTGGGTGCATAGTTTAGTCAGTCTTATAATTTCATGAGTGGGATAAAGCTGTAGACGTCTTATTGTACGGCTGTGACTAAGGAGCAAGCTGTCTAAATTTGTGTTTAGATTGCTATTTTATAAATTATGCTGATAGAAAAATAGACGTTACAATTTATCTCACAGGTTAGAAATCTGGCACTGTAAAATCAACAAGTATATTTGTCTTTGTATACAGTATATAAATTTTCAGACATCAGGAATGCCTGACCCTTTCATCAGAAATGGAAGTAGGCTGGAGACTGGAGACGGTGCAGTGGAGGGGGCGGGCTGCCACACTGTGGAGATGAAGCGCGATGTGCTTTTTCAGATGCCGCCTACTCATGGTGGACTTCTTTTTCTGGAATTGCTCTTATTTTGGTCTTTCTTAAACATGCTTATTGTTTTCTTTTAAGCTGTATTTTGAATTCACAGATATAGTTGTTTATTTTGTAAGATTCCCTGATGTTTCTGAATCACAGACTAATGCTTTCTGGAGACCAATTCTGCAGACCCACCATGTGGAAATCTGCCCCACGGTGAGGAGCGAGCATGGTCAGAGGTTGCCAGGTGATTCTGGACTTCCCTCAAAGTTTCTTTTGGGAGAACTTCGTGTATTCAATGGAAGTGAAATTCTCTTATTGACAGACACCAAATGTTTTGATGGCTGGACCCTGAGAGCAGATACCAAGAATACATTCTTAATCCTGAGCTCTTTTCCGTTTCTTTTATTTTACTTTTATTCTGGAGTTTGGGCTTACCTCTAGCTAGATCAGTGCAATTGCTGAGGAAGGATAAATTGGAAGGTATATTTAGCTATTAGTTATTTCCCCATAGTTGGTGGTACTCTGGTGTTTGTTGAAAAACTACATGTATACAAACAACAACAAACCTGCATGTATACACAAAATTTATTATAAACTCTACTAATACAAAAAAGCTGTGCAAAAAGTAGTGAATTTTCTAGTTGGGTGGTTTTCTTTTCTTTTTTTTTTTTTTTTTTCTGAAAACAGTATACCAGAAATACTCTGACTAGCTTAAATGAGAGAGTGAGAACACAGTACTGGTTACAGAGTTGATGGATTCAGGGTCACGGAAGAAAGTGTGTGGACCAGGTGACCACCCACAGGAGCGTGGGAAAGCCTCCTTAGCCAAGGAGGCCTGCCCTGTTCTCATTGCTGCCCTTCCCCAGGTCCTGCTGCTCTTGTTTCCCATCTGTTAACTCTCTGGTTGAGGGGAGAGAGAGAGTGTGTGTGCACTGTGTATCTGACTGTCTCTGTCTCTCCTAGTCATTGAAGCAGGTTTAACTCCCTATTATTTAGTTGTAGTCATTTAGTCTGATTTTGAAAATGAAAGCTTCTTGAGTGTGTTTCTAAAGGTGTACAATTAAGTCAGGACAGAGTGGTTGGTGATTGGAGGAGACTGTTCAGTGGGTGAATTGCTCTGTTTTTGTTTTGAGGCTTGTTCCTCCGTTGGTTTTAGAGTTTACTTCTGCTCTTTTCCTTTTGTCCTTCACCCTTTGTTGTTCTTAATCTTTCTCTCTGTTCCTTCCCATCAGCTGAGAATGTATTCATCCCTTATCTCCTCTCAAGCACTGGGAGGCTTTAATTGGACCATCCTTTGAATGCACTTGCTGCCCCATGCGAAGGCTGGTCCTGTGCACCCTGTGCACTTGCTTCCTTGCTCAGTGATTTCCCAACAGTCCTTCATTGGCAGACTGCGTTGTTTCTGTCTTAGGATAGTAAAATGGTACATGAAACCACCTGAATCTTCACTGAGAACTGCTGTGCTTATCCCAGCAGGACTCTGGGAGTGTTCCTTGGAGATACTCCACTCATTATTCTTACCTCTGGTCTTATTATTCTTACCAGTTACTGGTCTCTTGCTAAACCGCAGCTGAAAAATGGGCAAAAATCCCTTTCCTCCTTTACATAAAGTCAAACAAATAGGGCAGAATCATATGATTACTTAAATTTCAACCTACTTTTTAGATCTTTTATTAGAATCTTTGAGCCTTTTCCCATTTAACACCCTAGCTGAGGGTTCACAAAAATACCCAGTTTGGTGTTTTAGGCTCTTCAGCCTTTGATTTTGTTGTAGGTTGAGCAGAGTCTGAGCATGTCTTTGGGAGAAGAGGAGCAGGAGAGTGGGTGGGGTGATGGCCCAGCCTGGGACATAGGACACAGTGGCTCCTGACATCCTCTGCCTCTGTGTGGAAAGCTTTTACTGACACTCGTATTTCATTCCTTCGGCTTGTAGAAAGGGCCTTTCTAGAAACAGTTGTATGAAGTTTCTTTATGTTTTGTGCTGTTTGAGTCTGTTATCTGTGATATGATACAGTATCTTCCCTTTTAAAAGCCTGTTTTATGTGCAAATTGTGTCATACTTATGGAGTTGAACATAAAATCTTTATAGCAATTTAAATAATTAGTAAATTGAACCTTTTGTGTACCTGTTACTCAGATGAAGAAACAATATAATTATCAAAGGCTTATACAACCTTAAATTTCTGCTTAATGCATTCTTCTCCCTTCTCCCAGCCCTCAGAAGAGCAACCTAACTTTGAGTTTAATTTTTCCTTGATT